CATGCTGAACTCTCATTTAACATCAGCTAAAGCAGATACATGAGCTGATGTGAACTCTACAAACACATCAGGTATCTGTTCCTCTGTTTTTAGTCATCTCATACTTCACTCCCCTAGACATTGGATAAGCAATTCAGTTGCTACAAATCATGTATGCTTTGATCAGTCTTTATTTCACATCATAGTTCCCATTTCAAACTCATTTGTTACTCTTCCTAACAACTCTCGCATACAGGTTAACTTTTCTGGATCAATTACCATCAGCCCCTCTTTGATACTTCATGATGTTCTCTTGTAGTGTGTTTGGTAGGGATTTTTGGGGGAAGAATTGATTTTTGAATAGTGATATGATGGGAAATGAGTGGTTGAAAAAGAAGAAAAAAGTATTGATGTGATGGNGAAAAAAAAAAAAAAAAAAGTATTGTTGTGAGGGAAAATATTATTTTATTGAAGAATGTGTGGATGAAAATGAGAATTGATTTACTGTAGAAAATGAGAATCTGTACCAAACAGGCCTTTGGTTCCACAATTTCAATTCAACTTGTTATCTGTTACCTCTTTAACAAAGAATTCCTCTTTTCAATTCACTTTTCTTATGGATTGTTGTATCATTCAGGAAACTCCAACTTTGATGATGATTGGCAAGGGTAACAAAGTTGCTGATCTCTATATTATTGATACTACCAGCTTTTCTAGCTTTTGTAATTCTGATCCTAATACATCTCCTTGTAATTCTTCTATTTCCAGTGTAAACAAAGTTTCCTTGCAAATTTGGCATAATAGACTTGGACATATCTCCTTTAAACGTCTAGAGCAGTTAAAGGACATATTGTCTATGTCTTGTAATAATCATAAGGACATTCCTTGTTTCATTTGCTATTTGGCTAAATAGAGACGTCTTTCATTTGTATCAAACAATAATTTGTCCATGAATGCTTTTGATTTGGTACATTGTGACACTTGGAGGCCCTATCATACCCCTACTCATGCTAGTTGTCGTTATTTCCTTACTCTAGTAGATGATTGCCTAAATTTACATGGTTATTTCTCATGAAACAAAAATCAGACGCCAAATTCATAATTCCCAAGTTTTTCTCCCTCATTGAGACACAATTTGGTAAATCCATCAAGAAATTTCGATCAGACAATGTTCCTGAATTACAATTGATAGAGTTTTTCAATTCCAAAGGTGTCCTATATCAATTTTCTTGTGTTGAACGACCTGAGCAAAATTCAGTAGTGGAAAGGAAACATCAACATCTCCTTAATGTTGCTCATGCCCTTTTCTTCCAGTCTCGTGTTCCAATAAAGTTCTTGCGTGAATGTGTCCTCACTGCCACTTACTTGATAAATTGAACTCCTTCACCTTTCTTACATGGTGACTCTCCTTTTCAGCTTCTTCATAATACCCTAGTCGATTATAATAATCTCAAAGTGTTTGGATGTTCATGCTATGCGTCCACTTTACTTTCAACTAGAACGAAATTTCATCCTCGTGTTGTTGCTTGTATCTTTGTGGGATATTTACCTGTTATCAAAGGATACAAGCTTTACAACATCCAATCCAAAGCTTTATTTGTGTCTTTCGTGATGTAGTTTTCCATGAGACTTTATTTCCTTTTCACTCCATCACCTCATCCAATGATGTTATTGATCCTTTCCCAGAGTTATGTTTGCCTATATCGGCATCTGATTTACCTGTTTCTTCTATAACTCTACCATCATCTGATCTACCTACTACATCTTCCATTCTACCTGATACGATTGTTGTCCATAATTCTATGGTTAGAAGGACTTCAAGGGTTAAACCACCTTCATATCTGCAAGATTATCACAGCAACTTAGTTTAACACACTTCCCAGTTTTCTTCTAAAATCCCATATCTTTTGCACAATCATATTTCCTATGCATCCCTGTCACTCTCTCATCGTACTTATCTCCTCCAAATTGCTTCCAATTTTGAACCCCAATTCTATCATCAAGGTGTTAAATATCCTCATTGGAGGGAAACAATGGCCAATGAGTTAGATGCTATGGAATCCAATCACACATGGTCTGTTCAACCTTTTCCCAAGGACAAACATTCTATTGGTTGCAAGTGGATTTATAAAATCAAATACAAGTCAGATGGTAGCATTGAACGATACAAAGCCAGGTTGGTAGCCCAAAGTTACACACAGCAGAAGGGCTTGGATTTCCTGGAGACTTTTTCCCAGGTTGCAAAGTTAGTCACTGTCAAGATGTTACTTGCTATTGCAGCTATTAAAGGCTGGCATATATTTCAATTAGATGTTAATAACGCCTTTTTGAATGGAGACTTGTTTGAGGAGGTGTATATGGACCTTCCATTGGATTATGATTTACACAGGGTGGTTCATAGACAGGGGGAGAAATTGGTTTGTCGTCTGCATAAATCCATCTATGGCTTGAAGCAAGCCTCTCGCCAATGGTTCTCAAAGTTTTCTCAGGCCTTGCTTTTTCATGGTTTTACCCAATCCAAGTCAGACTATTCTCTCTTCACTAAGGGTACAGGTTCCTCATTTGTGGTTTTGTTGGTTTATGTAGATGATATTATAATTGCCGGGTCTAATTTGGATGTCATTGAGAAGTTAAAGAAGTTCCTTCATAGTCAATTTAAACTAAATGACCTTGGTTCCTTAAAGTATTTCCTTGGTCTGGAAATTGCAAGATCTACTGTTGGTATATTTCTGTCTCAACGCCACTATTCTCTGCAGCTCCTCGAAGATTCTGGTTTTCTTGCTTGCAAACCATCTCTTTCTTCTATGGATCCTAAGATCAAGCTCAACTCATCTAATGGTGATCTTATTGCTAATGCATCTTCCTACAGAAGATTGATTGGCCGCCTATTATACCTCACTGTTTCTAGGCCAAATATAACATTTGCAGTCCATAAATTATGCCAGTTTGTGTCATCTCCCAGACAACCTCATCTGGATGCTGCACACCATCTGCTGAAATATTTGAAAGCTTCTCCTAGCCAAGGTCTCCTTCTCTCTTCCTCTTCTGCCTTCTAGCTTAGAGCTTTTGCTGATACTGATTGGGGATCTTGTTTGGACTCTCGCAAATCTGTGAGTGGCTTTTACATATTCCTTGGTGACTCTATGATTTCTTGGAAAGCCAAGAAACAGACAACCGTTTCTCGTTCTTCTGCAGAGGCGGAATACAGAGCACTGGCTGCAACTGCAAGTGAACCTGTTTGGCTCCATCAACTACTGCATGATTTCCACATATCACCATCTGGCTCTATAGTTATATATTGTGACAACCAAGTGGCCATACACATTGCCAATAATCCTACATTTTATGAACGGACGAAACACATTGAAATTGATTACCATTTTGTTCGGGATAAGATTACAAATGGGTTTCTCAAGCTTCTTCCCGTTCGCACTCATTACCAACTTGCCGATGCAGCCACCAAAGCATTGCCTTCTACGTCTTTAAATCCTTTACTTTTGAAGATGGCGGTCCTTGACATTCACCGGCCACCTTGAGGGGGAGTATTAGGCCCATGTTTGAGCCACATTAAAATTTTCATTTTCATTCTTCAACTTACTTTCAACCACACATTTTTTCAATAAAATAATATTTTCCATCATATCAATAATTTTTTCTTCTTTTTCAGCCATACATTATCCATCAATCTACTATTCCAAAATACATTCTTCCAAAATAATGTGGCTTAAACACACTCTAGATGTTAGATATTATTTTACAGCTAGGCACCAACTGTCATTTTTCCCGCCTTTCGTATTTCTGTTATTTATAACCTTGGCTGGTTGGGCATAGGCTCACTTTTTGATTGATAGAAGAACACGATACTTCTTCCCGCTTATTCTCTCTCACTCTCTAGATTCAGTAAGTTCCCTTATTGTTCTCATAATCGTGAAGTTTTTCTCAGATTTCGTTATAACTTTATATGTTCGTAACATCAAACAGGTGAAGTTGAGCATCGGGATTAAAGCTTTACTTTACAATACAAGATCGGCATATTACAAATGTATGCCTTTTCATGGTCAATGTACAATCTTCAAGATCCGGGACATGAATAGCCAAACAATCCCTTGGGCTCAAATGAAGATAAGAAAACCGCTTAGAAACCATAGCCAAATAATCCCTTGGGCTCTCAATTTTCCTCAGCTTACTCTGGTTGCTCCTAGAATTCTTTTAATTCCCTAGCATTTCTTTTTAGGCTTTGGTACTAGTTGTAAATAGATGTGGGCTGAATTTTTCTTATGAGGCCCTCAAATATTGGAGGCCCTAGGCCATGGCCTAGTTGGCCTTAGGCCAGGGCCGGCCTTGCTTGAAGCAAGTCTCTCGCCAATGGTTCTCAAAGTTTTCTCAGGCCTTGCTTCTACATGGTTTTACCCAATCCAAGTCAGACTATTCTCTCTTCACTAAGGGTATAGGTTCCTCATTTGTGGCTTTGCTGGTTTATGTAGATGATATTATAATTGCCGAGTCTGATTTGGATGTCATTGAGAAGTTAAAGAAGTTCCTTCATAGTCAATTTAAACTAAATGGCCTTGGTTCCTTAAAGTATTTCCTTGGTCTGGAAATTGCAAGGTTCACTGCTGGTATATTTCTGTCTCAACGCCACTATTCTCTGCAGCTCCTAGAAGATTTTGGTTTTCTTGCTTGCAAACCAGCTCTTTCTCCTATGGATCCTAAGATCAAGCTCAACTCATCTGATGGTGATCTTATTGCTAATGCATCTTCCTACAGAAGATTGATTGGCCGCCTATTATACCTCACTGTTTCTAGGCCAAACATAACCTTTGCAGTCCATAAATTGAGCCAGTTTGTGTCATCTCCCAGACAACCTCATCTGGATGCTGCACACCATCTGCTGAAATATTTGAAAGCTTCTCCTGGCCAAGGTCTCCTTCTCTCTTCCTCTTCTGCTCTCCAGCTTAGAGCTTTTGCTGATGCTGATCGGGGATCTTGTTTGGACTCTCACAAATCTGTGAGTGGCTTTTACATTTTCCTTGGTGACTCTATGATTTCTTGGAAAGCACAACCGTTTCTCGTTCTTCTGCAGAGGCGGAATACAGAGCACTGGCTGCAACTGCAAGTGAACCTGTTTGGCTCCATCAACTACTGCTTGATTTCCACATATCACCATCTGTCTCTATAGTTATATATTGTGACAACCAAGTTGCCATACACATTGCCAATAATCCTACATTTCATGAACGGACGAAACACATTGAAATTGATTGCCATTTTGTTTGGGATAAGATTACAAATGGGTTTCTCAAGCTTCTTCCCGTTTGCACTCATTACCAACTTGCTGATGCATTCACCAAAGCATTGCCTTCTATGTCTTTAAATCCTTTACTTTTCAAGATGGCGGTCCTTGACATTCACCGGCCACCTTGAGGGGGAGTATTAGGCTCATATTTGAGCCACATTAAAATTTTCATTCTCATTCTTTTACTTATTTTCAACCACACATTTTTTTAATAAAATAATATTTTCCATCATATCAATAATTTTTCCTTCTTTTTCAGCCATACATTATCCATCAATCTACTATTCCAAAATATATTCTTCCAAAATAATGTGGCTCAAACACACCCTAGATGTTAGATATTATTTTACAGCTAGGCACCAACTGTCATTTTTCCCGCCTTTTGTATTTCTGTTATTTATAACCTTGGCTGGTTGGGCATAGGCTCACTTTTTGATTGATAGAAGAACACAATACTTCTTCCCACTTATTCTCTCTCACTCTCTAGATTCAATAAGTTCCCTTATTGTTCTCATAATCGTGAAGTTTTTCTCAGATTTCGTTATAACTTTATATGTTCGTTACATCAAACAGGTGAAGTTAAGCATCGGGATTAAAGCTTTACTTTACAATACAAGATCGGCATATTACAAACGTATGCCTTTTCATGGTCAATGTACTATGGAATTGGTTTTTGTGGTGCAAATGCTGCTCTTCTTACCTCTCCTGATCAGAAATCTGTGAGTAGACATTTTAATTCCTGCTTCAAAGTTTTATGATAACTAAACAAATTCAATCAAAAATCTGATATATTCTATATAATTATGTTGCCTGCTTCAAAGTTATGCTAATATAGGCTTCTTCTTAACTTATTCTTCAGGCCTCAGGGTATGGCAAGCGGCTATTGGAATGTTAAACTTTCTTACGGACCTCGATGGGTGACATGTTTTGTTAGCACATGTACATTCCTCTATCAAATAATCGGAAGAGTGAATGAAAATTTTATGAAATTTTTTGTGATTTTTTCTACTTTATTTCGCGTGTAGTTGGAATGAATATCCTTGTGCTACTTGTGCATCACATTTTGAACCGCTTGCCATGCACCGGTCAAGATGAGAGAAGGGATGAATTTGGAAGCATTGTATCACAGAGAATGCCTCCTCTGCTTTTACAGAAAGATGAAGATCTCCCGAGTTTGGGTTCCTCTTACGATTCCATATCTGAGGATGAACAATATGCTGAAGATGGACGGAGTGGGATTTCACGTGACGCGAAGCAAGATATAGACAGAGAATTCGGCAGCAATGTCCAGTGTCTTTGTGTGATTTGCTTTGATGCCCCTGGGGAATGCTTCTTCCTTCCGTGTGAACATTGTGTGGCTTGTTTTGCATGCGTAACAAGGTAATTCATCGTCTCCATATTTGGAACGAAATATGTTTTACTTCTTTTTTCTTACTTAATACTGTCCTGTTAACCTTATCGAACACACCATATACATTTTTAATGTATCCTTTTGTTTAGTTTTTTGTGGCCCAAATGCAGAAAAGCTTGATGGTTTTGGATTACAAAGAAACTTTCAAGGATCTTATTCTGTTTTTCACTAAAATTGCTCTCACATTGGCATTATGGAAGATAGTATTAGTTCCAACTAATTTATGTATAACATAATTTGAATTTTGCAGGATTTCAGAGGCCACCAAAAGTTGCCCAATATGCCATAGGCGGGTGAAGAAAGCGAGGAAGATATTCATGGTATGAGCACCATACAAGGTTTCGTCGCATGGCCATATTTCATTGAGAGGATCATCTTGCATGAGAATTCTAATATAGAAAAACTAAAACTTCTCACAAATCGCATTAGTGTGTAGAGTCATGCTATTTAACATTACTGATATTACAAATGAGTGTACATGACACTAAGTGATAAGAAATGAGAGACAATTAAATGAGCCGCATAATTTTATCTTTAATTGAGTAGCATTAGTCTAGTGTATAAGTGACATTTTCCAAGAAATTGATAGCTAGTGGACAAGAATTTTCGACCTTTTTTTTTGGTACCGGGAGAGCCTCGCCTGGTGGCTTTCTACCGGATCTTGGAACATTTTCCAAGAAGTTGATAGCTAGGAGACAAGAATTGATAGTTTTTTGAAAAATTCCATTTTTTATTTTGAAGGGTAATACGCTCCGCGTTGCTAAAATTGAATGAAATACATTTCTTTGGAAGGACTATTTGTCGGGAAAATATAATAATAAATATATATTAAAATAACCTTTTGATAAGTGAAAATGAATAGAATTTCGACTCATTTAAGAAATGAAATAAAGTAAAGAAATTATTATGGTCGTCATCGATAATGCACAACACTCCAAATCACAAGATAGAGAAGTCTCAAATAAGTATTCTTGATGGATGAAATTTAGCAATACCTATCAACAACAAATCATAATTCCGACTTATTTAAGAATATGATAACACTAAATAAACATCAATAATGATGTCATAATTTTACAACATTAATAACATCTCGCCTCTAATTTTTGTCCCTGTTTTTTTATTCTCACGTTACATGCACACACCACAATTCTTTCTGTTTCCGTAGGTAAATTGTTAATTCCTAATCCCAAGTATCTGATTGGCACAAATTTTTCTAAAATTATTTTTCTCTGAGATCATGTTTGATTTGACTTTCTTTTTCATGGAAGATGGAAATTAAAATCAATTTCCACATTTTTACATGTTAAATTGACTAAATTTTCCATGGAATTGGTTTTCCACATTTTCTTTTTTTTTTGAGGAAAAGTTTTTCGATGTGTCTGGTGGAAAAAGCTTTTCTAGGCATTTTTTTTTCCAATTGAAATGAATTATATCCTCAATTGTAACAAATTTTATCTTTTTAATGAACAATTTCCATGAAAAACAAAATCAAACAAACACTAAAAGATTCACAATTTCAATATTTTCTAAGTGAAAAATTAGACCAATCAAACACAATTAATTGACAATTTCCAGTAAAACAAGTTCTAGGCAATTCAATTCTTTGGACTTCATTTTCTTTCCACCCAATTCCATTCTTCCAATCAAACGAACCCTACAATCATTTCTAATCGCGCATTCCATAAAACTACAACTTTTATCCACTTTTTAATAGCACGTTCTCTAACAAATCATTTTTCACTTGAAAAACTATGTGCCTGAGAAGAATGTTTAGACAGCATTTACATAAACTTCTATTTTATTTTATTTTTTGTAAGAGAGACAAAAGTACCAATTGAAAATAACAAGACCCGCAAATAGGCATGTACTAAGTGCATTATTCAAGGAACTTAAGAGTTACAATAAATGATAATTCAAACAAAATTTTATATTTCTGAACCACGAAATGCTCGATTTCTATTTTTGATTATAGGTATAACTAACATGCTTTTAATGTGGGCAGAATGATAAACTCAAGGTTGATTGCCTTGCAACAAGACCATAACCATTAACTTCAAAGAATCTTTTTTGTTATGTGTACATAAAAAAATATAAAGGAGCTTTTTAAATCACTAGAAATATGTCACGCCCCATGAATTCAATCTTTCAACAAAAAGTTTACTCTTAACAATATTTATTAATATTGTCAAGAATCTCTTCACACCTACCACCCATTCCAGCTTCACTTCCACCCCCTTCTAATCTCCTCCACCTCGCCCCACCACAAGGAAATGGCATGAGGTGGTGGTCGATGGTAGGGTGTTAGAAGAGGAATGAACTTATTGTTGAAGTATTGGAAATATACAAATCATTGAATTGGTAGGTAGATGTAAAAAGAAACTCTGAAAAAAATAAATATAGATTGCATTTAAAAGCTCCTCATGTACCGCAAACCAACACATGCACCAAATGAATCTGATAAAAATCAATCACCAAGCATTAAAGGACAGCATGATACATATTTCTTCTCAACAATAAGTGAACCCAAAAACGATACACTATGGTCTGCTCTAAGAAGTTGGGATGGGGGAGAGGGGAAGAAGAAATCACAAATTGGAAGACAAAACATATATGATGTCTCAATCACAAACTGAAAATGTGCTATAAGGTGACTTCTTCAGCACAAATATATACCGGAGCAACAAATTTCCAATTTCAACTTGTCCAAAAAAGCAACAATTCAAGATGTTGACCGAGATGAGAGAGAAGGATTAAACGTGTGTGGCATACAGAGGGCTACAAAATGGTACTACTAAATCAACATTTTCAAGAGGCTAATCAGATGCACTTTCCCTCATCCAAAATCCTTATAAGCCACCAACCAATTGGAACCCCATCTGACACAAGGAACCCGCAAATGATGGAAACAAGCATGATATACATGCACGACTCCGTACTTTATACAGATGAATGCAACGGTCCATTTGTGTAAATTTATTTACTCACCCAAGTTAATAGAACCATCTTTCAACAATTTTATGCTCAAACTATTGAATCTCCCTCTTGAGTAATGTCGAGATGCCTTTCTCCAATCCGTCCCCGTTTTCATCATGGCCACAAATTCATCATAGCTGATACGTCCATCCTGTAATCATATTATGGAATAAAGTGAGAGAAAATTCATCTAGTACTTCATATTAATCAAGAGGATTTGTTTTGTACCTTGTCTGTGTCAACCTCCTGGAAAATGTCATTTGCTACATCTGTACAATCATCCGCTCCATCTTCCATCAAGGCATCTCGAAGCTCATTAGGCTCAATGTAACCATTACAATCCTTGTCAAAATAGGAAAATGCTTTGTGAAGATGTTCATCATTGGCCATTCTCTGCAGATGGAGAGAAATGGCAAGAAATTCTCCATAGTCTAAGGTTCCTTTACCAAACGTGTCAACCTGGAAGCAACAAAGAATTTTCATATATGGGAGAATGAGAGATGGCATCAAACGAAAAGAAAGCATTCTAAGCAAAGACTCTCCCTCTTTGCCACGAAAGGGGCGAGGATGGGTTACTAATACTTGGCTACCCTTTCACATCTAAAGATTAAAGGTTCGTTCAAGCAGAAATTTCTCCATTTCTCATCCAACAAAGACCTAGAATAATGAAACTTGAGAAGTTAATGGATCAGGTTACAGCATTGATTCCATGAATAAAGCCATAAACTTTGTTTCTCACTAGGTCTAACAGGGCAGGTCAAACAATAATTCGATCAATTTAGTCTTGGGATCGATCTAAACTATTTAAGATTCCTCTTAAGAGCACATAATTTTTTTAATGCATAACAGTTGTTCATTCATGACGATAATAATTTTTCAATTCAAACTCACATTCGACTTCAAACCCATGTCCAATGAGTTTGCAGCACAAGCCTGGTAAACTTTCAGTAGTTTATTCATGAATTTCATAATTTTTAATTCAAACTCAGATTCAAATTTAACTATTATCTAAATCAAATTCAGATAATAAGATTAAAGTTCCAACCAGATGCATATCCACATTCAGATCTCAGCTTCCTTCATAGGGTGGGTTGGCATCGGATCCAGGAATCCATGTCCAATCAGTTTACTGAAAACTAGTTCCAGAAAGGGGGAAATCTTCGAAAAGCGTAACCTCAAATTTTAAAACTATTTTGCAATTCCGCTCAAGGCAAAGAAAGATTTCTCCATTTTGAAGAAATCAAACATCATATCTTTAAGATCCCTCCTTACACTAGCCAAAGCGATTTATAAACCACTGCTATGAAACCAGTGGAGCTTTGGTGGTCAAGGCAGCACACTTTCTGTTCCTTTCCAACACCACAGGAAACCCAAGGGGACAAATCGATCCACGTTGTTCCATTCCATTGTAGCATTAAGATTTTCTTCTTTTTCTTTTGTGTATGTGTGGTGGGGAGTTGGGAGAATCAAAATATGAAGGTCTCCTTTGCAACCACTTTCAACACAGAACCCAAATTCTCCCATCAGTAGTTTTCTTATGCACCATTGAACAGGCATTTTACTGGCAGTGTGATATTAGAAAATGAGTCTTACATTTGAGGATGTAAGCAAAAAACAACAGGCCTAGCTGGTTGTTACTGAATTCTATCTCAACACACAATAAAAGACTCCACTTATACCATTAACCCAAAACATTTGATATCCCATTTCAAAACCCTCTCCAACAACCAAAATGGAGTTTCAATTGGATTTTAAAACTTGATACACATAATTTAGTTTTGGTTCAATACTTTATGCTTTTAATTTTTAAACAGTATTTGGTGTTTTACAAAGTATAAGAAAGTTACTATGAAAGTAGTTTCAAAATGAGGACGGATATCATCTATGTATGCACAAGTCTGTGTACAGAGAAGTAAGTCCACATGAGGGGTATACACGTGTTCATATGAGACAGCAACGTCACATATAGTATTATTTTGGTTGATAGGAAATCAAAATCCACAATTCCTTTTCTAATTAGTCAAAAGTTACATTGCTATTCTTTCTGAAAGATACAGACATCTGTATGACAGATTTTCCAAAATCTTTAAAATTTAAGAAGAGAAACATCAGTTACTGGTCAACAGTTGCGTATTGCCGAGGCTAAGAAGAAGAATTAAAATATTACCCAACTGAGCAAATATTATTACATTAGCATCTACCAGACACATTCTGTACACAAGCACATACGTAAGTAATCTATCTTTAGGAAGTGGATTCTGATTATCAGCACAGATATATAGGTAAATATAAAAATCAGCCGCAAAATAAGATTGGAGGGATAGAAATGCAACTCAATATCGTATTAATGGAGGGGTGAGTTTTCTTTCGCAAAGAATATTGAAGGGTAGGTAGGAATCCTATCAAACCTCTTTTTTTCTCCTCTAAAAAGTGGGAAGATTTAAAAGATATTACAGCGAGCTAATTACCATCAGCTAGTGCCTTAGTTTTATCGAGATTCAATCCATCTTTGTTTCATAAAATATAAAATGAAATCACTTTCATTCCTTTTTTAACATTTTATTTCAATCGAAAGAGAAGAACTGCTAACTCAATCCCAACCTCTTCCACCAACAAACCCGAAACTCATAATTAACAAGATTCTTTGCCTTCTCTTATTTCCCTACCTCTCTCTTCTGCTCATTTTCCCAATCCTTCTTTCCTCTAATAAACTCCCAAAACATCATAAAAGAAAATTAGATCAATTTTCAGCAATGATGTTATTCACTCATTCCCCTACCTAGATGAAGAATAGAATAGTAACATGCCTATATAAAGTATATGAACCCTCAAGGATATATTACACAAACTCTTTACTAATCATTTAAATCAAAGGCAAACTTGTTGATGGAATAAAAATGCAAGTGTTCTATAGTTGCGAAGTTCAGGTGGTGGACTTACAGCTTCGATAAGCATCTGTATTTCAGACTCCGCCATCTGTGAATTGAACTTCTGCAATCCAGCCTTTAGATCTTCAGTTGCCACAATGCCATCATTATCAGTATCTATCTTTGTAAACATCTCTTTGATGCCTTCAACTTCTTCATTAGACAAGAAATCGGCAATGACCTAATAGAATAAACAAGAGTTTTAGTGTTTTCTGAAACAAACTAGTTGGGAGAAGCTTGAAAATATATATATTCAGCAACCAACCCTCAGAGCCTTCCTCTTGAACCTATTCATCAAAGAGAACTGCTTGAGTCTCGACTTGACAACATCCCCAAGAGGAACATTTGAATTTTTCTTTGCATTTTGGAGCCAAGGATGTTCTGTGAACATTGAAACCGTTAATCATTAAGCGAAACATAAGAAACATCAAAACAATTATTAAAAACAACAGAAAGTTTTCCACTCGTCTTAAACGACAAGAAAATCTGTGTGAATAGCATTTCCAGAAGATACAACCGATTGAAGGTCCCTAACTTCCCCCATCAATCGTAATCTGAAAGGAACCTCTGAAATACCATTTTTATTAAGATACCCTTTTCTGGTTAAAGAAAATTTATTATAACAAGCGCCTCAGAATCGTTTATATGATAAAATGAGCAGGACTGTACTTACAAACCATTTCATCAAAATATATTTAACACAAATATGAGGCCTAAACAATTACCATATACTTTTACATTGACAAAGCAACTAGACAATCAAAAATGATTGTCAAAAGGATAAGAACTATTTCCTGTTCAACAAAAGATGAGATAGTGTATCAAACAAGGTGTTTGTACTTTGCTCTTTTAAACCATTACATCAAAATATATATTATTCAAATAGGAAGCTTTAGTAATTAGCATGTACTTTCATATTTGCAGAGCAGGTAGACAATCAAAAATGATTGCCAAATCTGTTCACCAAAAGCATGAAACGGTTATTCAAACAAGGTGATTGTCCAAACTGAATAGATTTAATACGATCTAGTTGACAATGCATTTTCTAGATTCACTAGACGAAGAACAACGGTGAAATGAAAACTAACTTACCAAGAACTTGTTTTGCAGTCAGTCGAAGCTTAGGATCTGGCTCCAACATTCGTCGTACAAGATTTTTCGCACTCTCTGAAACACTAGGCCAGGGTTCCCGATCGAAGTCTATTTTCCCGCGTATAATGGCCTGGGCAACACCTTGTTCAGATTCTGAGAAAAAAAAAATACCTTCAGAGAAACAATTTCTCATTTTTGCATTTTTATATTACAAAGAAATGGAAGCCTCATGAGAATTGAGAAATGAAAAAAAAATTGAGAAAAGCTAATCTAGAAGCCTATATTGATCTCCCATGAAAAATAAAAAAATAACAAATAAAATGCAAACATTCCAAATAATAAAAAGTCCAGAAATGGCACGCACACAGATAGGGGGAGAGGGTATATACAGAGAATTCAAATTACCAGCCCAAAATGGAGGAACACCACATAGCAAAATATAGAGAATCACTCCTGCACTCCATATATCTATTTCTGGTCCATAATTCCGCCTGAGCACCTCTGGAGCCATATAATAAGGGCTTCCAACAATTTCAGAGAACTTCTCACCTAGAATTTCAAGATTATCACAATTTAGCATCATAGAACAAATCAGCATAGAGTTCAGAATCAGAACTTCAGAGGAAAACATTACTGTGCACCCTTGGATCAAGTACACAAAAATGAAAGATATTACAATGTAACAACTACATATATGAGCAGTAAGGACAAGAAGCCATCAGATAATCTGTCAATGTATAGAACAATTGTTCTGTAAAATTCTTATTCATAGGATTGCTCTTGCACATTTCTTATTCAAAGGATTGTCCTGGCATATTTTTGTCTTGAATACATTTCTGCCTAGAATTTCCATACGGCATAGGCTTCCCACTGTCTGATCAAACATTCTTACAGAAGTTCAGCGAGATCAGAAGTAAATGACATAATCCTATGCAATATAAATTTTTCAAAATTGACCCTTCTTTGGAGGAGAAAAACACTGGCTTCTCATCAATGCAACTGCAGGTGAGGTGAAGAAGCTAGGCATCAAAATCACAGGGGAATATTTAGTATATACGATTGATTCAGGCATCCATACAATAACTAGTTCTTTTTCCCGCTTTCTGATACTTCTGTATGTTGGTGGCCCACTGCTAACAAGTGCAAGGTTAGCACAATTTCAATTTTCCAGCAGTCTTTTCTCATGCCAGGGGAGTCAACCATGAGGGGAAAAATCCACTTTACTGAATTCTATTTGTTCATTACATTATTGTCAACATCAATGTTGAGAGGATCAGCTAATCAAATGATATTGTTGCATAATTCCTACTCTTCAATACCTGCCACACTCTTAAGAAAATAAACACTATGATATAAAGCAATATTTCAAATTGGCACATCATAACCCATATATGCATGCATACATATGATAAAGAGAAACATCCCCCAAATGTGTCTAGAACGCAAAGGTTACGCCGAGAGAAAGGGCAAACAAACAAAAGTTTACCCAAATATTTCAATTTGGAATTGTTTCCAACACAGTACATACTTGTGCATTTTAGTATTTATGCACATGATCCATTTGAAGAGATGCTATAAGAACTCAATCAAAAAAAGAAGTAGAACTATTATTTGAGTTCTGACATATGATCACAATAAAGGCCCAGCCTATTTCACGTCATTTCTGGTAAGAGTTTCACAAATAAAAAAAAAGCAAGTCAAGGGTCATGGAAACAGAAGTGTTTCTGCCCCAAAGGGACTTTAAGACCCATTCTAATTTAACAGCAAGTAGAGCTAAAAGTCAACACTTTGTGAGCTTCATTCAAACTACCCAACTTCCCCTTCCAAATGTGCAAATCTTGACAAAGGGCACCGAAAGCAAAAGCCCTGAGGTCCTAATGAATGTCTAGTGTGAGACAGGAAAAACTCTTCGAGCTCAGTGAACCCGGCCTACGTATCCCAGGGGTGCCCATCGGTTGTTACGAGAACTTTGCATATCATCATAGTATTTGCCAACTAGTAGCTCTTTATCATCCCATATTTTTGGTACTTGAAACTAACATCATGTATATAAATCGTCCATTACAATTCTTTTCCCTTGAAAGTCATCTGGCTACACATATAAAATTAATACAGATAATTTTATATCTAAATCTGCAAACAAACACAACATTTGTACGTATAATACATCATAGGACAAATGCATCGATTAATTAAACGGTTAACTTATAGTTAACTACATCCCCTCATAAAAAATAATAGTAAAGCAACTACAAGTCTAGAACTATTATTTACCTGGCTTGAAGAAGATTGACAAGCCAAAATCAATTGCTTTGAGGGGCGAGTGCTCTTTCTTATTTGCGAATAAAAAATTTTCTGGCTTCAAGTCCCTGTGTATCACCCCATGCTTGTGGCAAAGCTGCACCACCTCCACAATCGTCCTGGTGACAGCTGCTGCAGCCCGTTCCGTGTAATGCCCCCGAGCCACAATCCTATCGAACAGTTCCCCGCCCTCACACAACTCCATCACCAAATGCACAGCATTCTCGTCCTCGCACGCCTCCTTCAAGCTCACAATGCTCGAGTTCTTGGGCAAATGCTTCATTATCGCCACCTCTCTCCTGACATCATCCACATCCACGGTTGTCCGCAGCTTCCTCTTCGAAATCGACTTGCAGGCCAAGAGCTCCCTCGTATCCCGGTCAATGCACAAATAAGTAACCCCAAATTCCCCACGGCCAAGCTCCCTGTCAACTAAATACTTCTCTTCAATATTTTCCTTCTCAGCATCACTCAATACCGTGATGGCCTTTTTATAATTACCTGTTCCGGACTTCTCCTTACGGCCGTGATCATGCCCTGAAAAATTAGATGACTTCACGTCTTCTCTGGCGACGGCCGCCGGAGATCTACAGCAGTTCCCCATTCAAATCTAGAGCGAATTTAAGCAGTTTTGAAGTAAACTTTCACCAAAAAAAACCCTAAACCTAACCCGTAGCTAGTGTGTCCCATCATTGAGATGCAGAACCCTAACTCCATATATAGAGTAGATTACAGCATAGGACACAATCTCTGCGATATTTTCAGATAGAAGGTGCGTTTGTGAGAAAAGGGTCCATATTTCAGTGCAATTAGTGGTGGGCATGGTAAAGTTTCAGATACTTTTTGTAGAGTAGAAGCTCTTTTTCAGTTTTTAATTGTGAAAAAAAAAATTAATATGTAAATAGCAGAGTTGTATGTATAGGTGTTTCTATCTATCTATAACTGTGTGTATATGTGTGAATTTGTCGGTTGACTGTAACCTTGGTAACGGCCAACGGGACGGGAATGGAAGGGGGATCCTCCGGGTGCTAGCCTCGTGCTCGTTTCTTTAATCTCCAATAGGCTGTTGACAAGTGGCGTGAATTTTATTTTTTATTTAAACTGAAATTTTAAACACCTACTTCAACAAGGATTATGCCGCTGCTAGAGAAATTCAACGCATTGATTTGGAGTTGTGGCAAAAAATGATTGGATGGAAGAATTGATCGTTTTTAAAACAATCCAGTGATATAACTCCATATGAAATTCTATTATCCGAATGTGAAAATCCTCGTAGCAAGATTGCTTCAACAAAGAGTCAAAGACACTCATCGAATTTATAGCGCAAATACTCTCTTGGAAAATTGCAGCAGAGGTACTGAATTTATTAAATTTATACAAATGAAAATCTATATTTCATAATATTTGGCATTTTCAACCTCTTTTTGAATTTATACACTGGTTTTCTTGGTGAATTTGACGCAAATGATCTCTTAAGTGCCATTTTTGAGCAAACGATCTTTAACGTTTCATTATGGACACCTACGCCCTCGACCCTATTGACTTGCAAAAAAAGAAAAATCCTTTTGAATGACTATACATTTTTGTCATTAAGCTCCCGTTTGATACACATTCACATCCTCATTTTTTTTTTCTTTATTCATTTCAATCACACATTCTCCAAATAGAATAATACTACATACAAATCTAAAATTTTTCGTCACTTTTTCACCACACATTCTTCTATCAATCACTACTTCAAAAAATTTATTCTCATTTTAATGTGATTCAAACACACGCTAAATATATGAGTGATTATATTGTCACCACAATTTTTATTTGATATACCATATTTCAATTGCATTTAAACTCTTCAATTTTTGTTCATTGTAGTAATTATTTTCATTAACTTTTTTTTCCATCGAATTCTTATTTTCACTTTTTATTAATTAGTATATCTCGTCCTTAATGAAAATTTATATCGAAATATTTTTTTTCACACTTTGAAATTAGGAAAAAATATTTTTTTCACCTTTTTTTTAAATATGATGAAAAATAAGTTATTTAACGTCATTTCAATGAACTTTTGCACATAGAATTGCTATTAAATACAAAATGTGTTAGTTAATGAGAAGTTTGAGAATAAGAATAACATGAAAAATCATTAGGGACATAAATGTTGTAATGAGCAAAAATTAATAATCTTTAAATACAATTAAAATGCGGGATAAGAAATAAAAATTGTAGTGAAAATATAATTATCCTAAATATAATATATATATTAAGAAAAAGACACTTGTCCCATTTACCCATTTATACACTTGATTGATCATTTGCACACAAGCATTATGGAACTTTTATGCAATTTCCTTAAAATTTAAGAGTTCTCTTATTAAGCCCCTGTTTGATTCCCATTGTTTGGAAAAAAAAATAAGTTTTGAATAATATTTTACGGAGTACGTGTAATTAAAAAGTAAAAAAAATGAATTTAAGTGTATAATATTTTATTATGTAAATGTATAGTTGAAAATGATCATTTAGCAAAAAGTAAAATAAATTATTGGGTGTCAAACAAGGGCTTAGCACTAGGTACAACGACACTGTAAAAACTAAAGAACAAACCTAAGTTCCTATTTGGTAGAGAAGAAAATCAATTTTTTTAGTAGATTTTAATAAAAGTTCGTGAAATAAGTGATTGAAAAGTTGTGGAACTCATGAAATATACAGTTAAAATTAATTATTAACTTTAATTTAAATTAAAATTTAGAATTTAATCAAATACAAAAGATGAGCTAAATAATGCAGCCTAGTATTGAGGAATACGGTCATTATTGCAATTATTTTTCCTTAAATGAGACGACAAAATAATATTAGTCAAAGTAGGGATTTATTAAAGTTACACCAGATGTGGGCAGTATCATTGTCATTGATTGACAAATTTACTCCGACAATCACCTTTTTAATAAAAAAATTCTTATTTATTAAAGTAATTAATTAATGGAAGTAAATAGGATAAAATTACAAGCACATTATATTTCTTTCTTATTTAATATTATTTAATAATAACTTATTGTTAAAACTTATTTTACCCAACTTGCTGAAATTTGAAAATCTGTCAAAAGTTTACCCATTAAAGTTTGACTAGTCCAACCAAGATCGAATATAGCTGATTTCTTGCGTTATCTATTTCAATAGAGCATGTGTCGTCGATGACCTGAGTAGTTGGCTTGTTGAACGCAGATGAGGAGCAAGAAAATCAATAATAAATTCACTGTCCACATCTTGTTGAGTTATTCTATAGAGTACCCTTTTTTAGAAGTTCAATTTGAAGAAAACGCTCGCATACATTTAAACATTTGTCACAGCGTAAAATTCCAATTTGGAAAAGGGAATGGGTTTAAGTGATAGATTAGTCGAAGTGAGAACGTGCAATAACTTATTTCAATCTTAGAATAAAGAAACGTTATCGTGCACTTGCAAACGCGTACAATTCCAAAAATAAAGAATTGTTATTTTAAGAGCATACCCTACCACTTAAAATAGCATCATTCGACTAAGAACCCAAAGGGAGGATGTCCTATCCTTTAACCTCACTTCAAATATAACCATGAAATTAGTGGAGAGTATTTAACAAACACTTCAGAATCCATCAATACTCATAAAAGTCGAGTTGGTTAGTCCTCAATTTCTAACCGGGGGTGGGTTACCACTTACCACTAGGCATTAGATTGCAATAAAATAATATTACACGTAAATAAAAAAAAATCTTATTTTTTAATTACACATTTCTCATCAATACACTATTCAAAAAAAAAAAAAAATTTTTTTGGGCAAAAAATGATGCTCAAACAAAAATACGACTGCGTACTAGCCTTCGACACACCGATAATATTTTGTGGAATTTGTCGGAATTTTGTAAAATGTAAATATTTGATTATTTTACCTCATCATACCTAATTAATCATGACGCTGAAAAACATAGACAACCAATCTGGTGTAACATGTCAATCATTAATAGAGTTATGTTTCATAGCCTAACTCCTACCCAAGTGGTCCAGCAGGATTAACATAAGTTGTGTGCATGTAATTATAATTGTAGATATGTCCATGTATTTGTCGTGACATTCTATCTACTGTTCTATAATTGTGTTTGTGACAAGCTCATTAGACATATCGCCGAAAAGCGTGAACTTAGTGTGTGACTTCGAGAACCCAATAGCACGAATGTGTGAATTTTTTAATGAAAATATTTTCTGAATTAAAATTACCGCATGTTTGTAGTTCGTTAACAAATAATAAAGTGATTTTTGAGTCCAAGTATCGTTTCACAAAGATTGATTTAGTTCAATTTTAATTATCGCGACCTTAATTGAAATATGAATAATATGATGTGTTTGATAGAGATAAAATTATGACTAAAATAATCTACTTATGTAATTATGAGTAAATTAGCTAAATTAAATGCAAATTATACTAAATACAAATTAATGTATTTAATAATTGACAAACGCATTAGGATCCCAAATTCTCATATAATAATCATTTTTAACTTTAGTTCTACACTTTGACGATATGATTGAATTTTGACGAATCAGTGTTCCTATTATATTTAATAATCTCTTTCGAGTAATGTTAAACCTACTATCATATATGACCTGACTATATTTTCATAACAGATGGGAAAATACAAGATGCATGATTTTTTATACACACTGAAAAATTCACATAGAGCATAACGGTATATTCATATCCCTTACCAGACCTTATGACATCTATATATGTCGAGTATATTTCCATTTTTTCGAATGCATAAAATAAACCACCACATTCGCACAACTACTATGCACAATAATTGTAAGAAAATAAAATTATATAAATTATTCAATATTCAAAAAATGTTTTCAATGTCAAGTAGGTAAAACTAAAAATTAAAAATTCATATAAAATATGTAAAACTAAAAATTAAAAATTCATATTATACGATTCATCGTTCTCCTAACACAAATAAATTTACCTTAACATGTTATGAGAAAGAAAACAAAAGAAAAATTGAAGAATCGACATCACCCAAATAAAGTTTGAGTTGAATCTTTTGAATTTGATTTTCGTGTTTCTTGCCTCCTTCTATACCCCCAAAATCTTTTAGAATGTGTTATTATGCGTGATAACCAGTCCTGAACTGCCCTAGATCTTTAAAAGATATCTAAAGATTTATTTTCATAAGAGTTTGAATCATTTTATAAGAGTTGGAATCATATTAAGAAATCAGATTTTTTTCCCGACTTAGCCCGTACGGGCGCCCAGTAGGAAATGGGGCGACCGTCAGGCATAGCAAATGGTCCATGTATGTTAAGTCTAAAGTCGGCGGCCGCCCGACCAATATAACTAGGTAGCTAATCCGGTTATAAAAATTTCACGAAATTTCCTTTCAGTCATTTTTTTTATTCTTTCTTCAATCTTGGTCATCTACATCAAATTACTTCAACTTTTAGTGTTTCAACTTTTACTCAAATACATATTAGACGTGAACTTAGTGTGTGACTTCGAGGACCCAATAGCACGAATGTGTGAATTTTTTATTTATTTTTATTATTTATGAAAATATTTTCCGAATTTAAATTACTG